TCCTCGACTACCTCTGCCTTCTTCAAGTCATTGAATGATGCTCCCCTCACCACTCCATTTAAAATCTCACACCTTCTCAGACCTCAGCACTTCTTTCCCCATCCTGGCTTTATTTTCTTTTTTTTTTTTTTAATCTTCTGACATTTTATATCTTTTACTCATGCATTTTGTTTATTGTTTTTATATGTCCCCTTTACTCAGTCATAAACTCCATGATGACAGGTATTTTTGCTTATATCCCCCAAGACCTGGCACAGTTGTTGTTAAGTGCCGTCAAGTTGGCTCTGACTCATAGCTACCCTGTGGACAACAGAATGAAACACTGCCCAGTCCTGCGCCAGCCTCACAATCCTTGCCATACCTGAGCCCACTGTGTCAATCCATCACATTGAGGACCTTCCCCTTTTTTCACTGACCCTCCACTTTACCACACATGATATCCTTCTCCAGGGAATGGTCCCTTCTGACAACATGACCAAAGTAGGTGAGATGAAGTCCGGCCATTCTCACTTCCAAGGAGCATTCTGGCTGCATTCCTTCCAGGACAGATTTATTAGTTCTTCTTTTTCCAGGAATATATCAGACAGTGTTTTGCTGCTATTCATGAAGTTTTCACTGGCCAGTTTGAGAAGTGGATGGCCCCTTCTTCTTCCAAGTCTGTCTTAGTGTGGAAGCTCCAATGAAACCTGTCCACCATGGGTGACCCTGCTGATACAGGAAATACCAGTGGCCTAGTCTTGAGCCCTCACAGCAACATGCAAGCCACTACAGTATGACGACCTGACAGATGAGCGGTGGTGGCATTTATCATGAGTGCAATTTTGTGATTGCTTTTGGGACAGGCTGTGTTAGGCCTGACTCCCCTTAGACTGAGACTCAGGAGGAAATGGACCATGTGGATCGTAGTGGTGCCTCCAGAGTCCAGCATAGCACCTGGCACAGGGACTCCATAGCGTTTTTTTGTCTGTAGTCTTAACATAAGCAGATTGCCAAGTCTTTCTTTTGCAGTACCGCTAGATGAGTTCAAACCGCCAAACTTTAGGTTAGAGGTCAAGAGCAAATTGAGCTACCCATGACCTGGCACGTGGGCAGCAGCCAAGATATTCTCTTAGGATGAATACCTGAATTTCTGCTGGGCTTCAGCTGCTACTCTTGTCACTGTCACCCCAGCAGGCCTCGGCCCCGTCCTCCCAGGTAGGATAATTACACTGGTGTGGCCAACTCTAGGTCTCTCACTGTGGACCCCTCACTGGTGTCCACTCCACGTTGGTCTTCATGGGTGGGATGTCCTGCTCACAAGGCCAAACCAGATTCGTTCAGCTATGGGCCCAGCCACAGTCCTTCCCACTTCCTCTACAGAATGAGCTCCCACAGGCCAAGGAAGCTGCCAGCAAGTACATCCCCACAGGATGGCTTCCTGAGGCCTGGGGCTCAGGCTAGGCTTTCAGGATATAATAGGGGAAAAAAAGACCCCAGATTCAAACAGGTTCAATAGAGACCGTTTTATTAAGCCTTAGACAAAGACAATCCTCCAGGATGAGGGAAACCATCAGCATGTACACAACAGCCACAGAGGTAATTACATGATTGAAAACAAAGGGAATCATCACGGAATCGTGATTGGTGGCAGATTGGTTCATCACTGTCACGTTGTTGTCATTATGTGCTGCCCAGTCGTCTCTGACTCATAGCGACCCCTCCTTAGGTTTCTGAGGCAGTATCTCTATGGAAGTAGATTGTCCAACCTTCCTTCCAAGGAGTGGCTGGTGGGTTTGAACCACCAACCTTCTGGTTAGCAGTCAAATGCCTTCGGCGCTACGCCACCAGAGCTCCTATCACTGTCGCAGGTGGGACTAAAGAATTGGAGAAAGGACCATGATTGGGATATGTACATACTGAAGATTAAAAAAGGGTTGCAGGATTGGTCTGGGGCTTGATCGCCTGGCTACAGGGTGGTCCAGATATGACTCATGACCATGCAGCCTGAGTCATAGCCGCAAGGTAGCTACAAAACAATAATACCAGGATCCCAACCTTAATTTAAGGAGCTCTGGTGGCTCAGTGCTTAAGGCATTTGGCTGCTAAACAGGTCAGTGGTTCAAATCCACCAGTCACTCCATGGAAGGAAGATGGAGCAATCTAGTTCAGTAAAGACATTCCAGTGGAGGTCACTATAAGTCGGAATCAACTTGATGGCAGTGAGTTTAGTTTTCAGTTTTAACTTTAATTTAAATTAGATAAGGAGACACCCAGGCAAATTTCCTAGTTCTGTGTGAGCATAATCTACTTTCAGCCACACTCTTCTGGGGCAAACTGCCCCTCCTTAGGTTTGTCCTAGAACTTGCTTGTGCATAGTCACAATGTTGGTTTAAAGGTTAGAAAGAACTCAAATGGCATCTGAATTTATGTCAAGACTCATAATAGAGTTAGGTTCTCTGTACACTGCAGCTTGCTGTAATACAAAGAGAGAGCTGGAATCAAGCATATTTGAAGGTAGAAGGGGATGTTTGGGATTGAAAGGCACTCTGGGCCCTGGTCAGGATTCCTCTGTCTCTGAGTTCCTCTGAGGTCTGAATACTGTGCCAAAACCAAACCAAACCAGACTCAGTGCTGTTGAATCGGATACGACCCCTCCTTGGGTTTCTGAGGCAGTATCACTACGGAGTAGATTGCTCGACCTTCCTTCCCAGGAGTGGCTGGTGGGTTTGAACCACCAGCCTTCTGGTTAGCAGTCACATGCCTTAGGCACTACGCTACCAGAGCTCCCAATACTGTGCCAAAGGGGAGAAAGAGAGAGAGAGAGAGAGAGAGAGAGAGAAAGATTCCTACCCTTCTCATCCCTGGCGGGACCAGAAAAAGGTGGGCTTCATTTTCCCATGCTGTCCCCACCCCACAACCCCCAGCATGCTTGCTCAGTCTTCTTTCATTCCCAGAGTTTTTCTGAGTGGCTTTGCAGTCAGGTGGTCTTTGAGCTAGATATCCAACCACAGAGAATCCCTCCCTCAGGGAGCTTACACTCTAAGGAGTAGCCAGGCCAACTACAGTGAATAAGTAAAACATTCCCTAAGTGATAGTGGCTAAGAAGGAGAAAAAAATGAAGGTGTGAGGGGGATAGAAAAGGCCTCCATGTGTTGTCATTTTAAGTGAGGTGACCAGTGAGGGCATGTGGAACTCTCTTTCCCCAAGCCCTAATCACTTCTGTCTATCCAGGGGGAGTTAATGGGTCCTCACCAACTTTGTCTGAACTCATCATACACCTGAGGCCCCTCCACTCAGAAGCCAGAGACTTTGTAAGCTCAGATCTGACCTGTCATCCCCCTGCTTAAATCCCTTCAAGGGCACTGGTTGACAAAGGCCCAGTCCCTTGGGGAGAAGGGGGCTTTCACACTTGCTCCCCTTGCCCCTTTCCTGGGCCTCAGCTCATACCAGGTCCCCTCCCAGCTGGAGCTCAGTCCAAGGAGACAAGCTCTCCCTCTGGCGCCCACGCCTCGCCTTCCCTCCACCAGGTCTTCAGAGCCCCAAACACTTTCCCAGATACCCTCATTTCCTCATGCAGGCCTTGGAGGTCACCTTCCCCCAGGCCGCGGGTAGATGCCCCCACCACAACATGCGACATCCTGCATAGCAGCATCTCGCCCCCGCCCCGTGAGGGCTGGGATCACGTCTGTCCTATTCTCCGCCCTGTCCCCAGCGCTCTACAAAAGCGTGTCGAATGAATGAATTTCACCGGGTTGGGACTTGGCCTCATTCACGTCAGCTCTCCCGGGCCCACATCCGCCCTGCTCCGCCGAGAGGGCGCTGGAGCACCGGGGATCGGTTCTAGGAGTGGGGTGGTGGGTGTTACCCCTTCCTCCCGGGCGCCAAGAGGAAGGGGGAAGCCCCTCTGCCGGCTCCGGCTCCTTTCTCGCGGAAGGCCGGGCCAGGCGGGTGCGGGGCGGGAGGAGGCGCCGGGAGCTGAGTGGCGGCTCCCGGTCCACCTCCTGGCGCGCGGGTGCGGGCGGGAGGCGGGAGGCGGGGAGCGCAGGGGCGGCGGCGAGAGGGAGCGCAGCAGCGAGCATGTGCCGCGGCTCCCAGTAACCAGGGACGACCGCGGCAACAGAGCGGCCGGGTCGGCGCTCAGCCCAG